GCCGCCCGCCGAGGGGTCGGCGCCTTCGACGCATGGCTATGAGTGCGTGGCGCCTGTCGACGAGAAGAGCCCTCCTGACGACAAGAGCAAGGAAAAAAAAGAAGCTGCACCGCCGCCGGTCGAACAGCAACCGCATTGCATCGATCCGCGAGCTTGCGAGACGGCGGTCGATACGGGGGACTTCAGCGCGGACGCCTTCTTCGCGCCGTACGACGGTTGCGGCGAGGTGGGCGTCTACAACGGCAAGTACGAAGTCCCCACGCAAAGGCCGCTCGTCGAATGGGGCATGCCCTTCTACGGACCCGGGCCGTGGGCGATCGGCAGCGAGGTGATCGGGCCCACGAACTTGGTTGTGCCGAAGTTCTACATTTACGGCGACTACCGCGCCGGACTCGCGCAGAACGACCTCGTCAACGACGAGCAGACGGTGCTCGCCCACCGACTCAACCTCGAGCTCGACTACTGGTTCACCGCGACCGAGCGCGTCCACGGCTTCCTCGGGCCGTTCCAGAAAGACGCCCGGTTCATGCGCGTCGTCGATGGCGAGTACATCGAAGAGCTCGACTTTTTCCAGGCCGAGACCGACACGCTGTTTTTCGAGGGAGACCTTGGGCAGATGCTGGGCGGCATCGAGGGGCGCTACGCGTCGTTCGATATGCCGATAACCTTCGGTCTCGTGCCGCTGGTGTTCCAAAACGGCATCTGGATGCAGGACGCAATCGTCGGCGGCGCCGTGACGCTGCCGGCGAAGAACTCGCCGCTCTTCGACTGGTCGAACTTCGACGTCACGTTCTTCGGCGGCGTCGACCGCATTTCGTCGGGCGCCTTCGGCTTCGACGAAGACGCCGCGGCCCTCGTCGGCGCGACGACGTTCATCGAAACGCGGGGTGGTTACTTTGAACTCGGCTATGGCTTCGTCGAGGATCAAGAGAACGGCGGCCGCAGCTACCACAACCTCGGCGTCAGCTACACCCGGCGTTACGCGAACCTCGTGTCGAACTCGGTCCGTGCGATCGTCAACGCCGGCCAAGACCCGCATAACGGGCAGCGGACCGCGGACGGCGTGCTGCTGCTGATCGAGAACACCTTCCTCACGAAGAACCCCTACAACGTGATGCCGTACTTCAACGTCTTCGCCGGCTTCGATACGCCGCAACCGCTCGCGCGGGCTGGGGCGTTTGGCGGCGTCTTGTTCAACACGGGCATCCTGTTCCAGAGCGACTGGCTCACCGGCTACCCCACGCTCGACGCCACTGGCAACAACACGTACGGCGCCGCCATCGGTGTGGACCTGCTGTCGCCGGCGTTCGATCAGCAGCTGATCCTCGAAATGGCGGCCCTGAAGACCATGTCGAGCGCAAGCAACCGCGTCGCGTCGGGTGACCAAGTCGGCGTCGGGGCCCGCTGGCAGAAGAAGCTCTCAACCGCCACGCTCATCCGCGCCGACGCAATGGTCGGCATGCTCGATAACTCCGACGACATCAGCGGCGTGCGGGTCGAGTACCGGTGGAAGTTCTGAAAGCAGCAAATGACCAATGACCAATGAGATGCTGCCGCACCATTGCGGTTTCTAGCTCAACTCATTGGTCATTGGGGCTTGGTCATTGGGGCTTAATGGCTTGCACGTGATAGTTGTGACACTGCGTGCACGAGTCGCCCGCCGCGTGGGGCTGGTGGCATTGGACGCAGCTCGACTTGGAGATCGCCGCGAACTCGCTGGCGGGGCGTGAAGCGTCGTAGCTGGCGTAGGCGCTGCGGGGGTCGGCGGTCGAATCGATGCGGTGACAATGCGTGCAGTTGGCGAGTTCGGGCTGCACGAGGTGCGGACGGTGCGAGAACTTCGTGAAGCCGCGGGGCTCGGTGAGGCGGTCGCGACCACGCCAGTTGATCGCGAGGCCGGTCGATGTCTGGTCGATGCTATGGCACTCGAAACACATGCCCGGCGCGCCGGGGCGACGGAACTCGGCAAGGCAGGCGTCGCGGATGTCGGCGTGCTCCGCAGGGAGCGCGACGATCGCGTCGAGCCACGCCCGCACGAGCGGATCGTCGTGGCCCGTTGGGCGATACAGCAGCGCGAGGCGATCGTCGTCCACCAACCAGCCGCCGCCGGTGCGTCGGTCTTCGATCGCGTCGAACTGCTCGGGTGGTGCCGCATCGCCGAGCCAAGTGGCTTGGATGCGGTCGATGAGCTCGACGGGAAGGTGGCCAACATAGTCGGCGTCGGCCTTTGCGTCGTCGCCGACGAGCGACCGTAGGCGGTAGGCGATAGCGCCGTGCCCTTCTTCTTGGGTCTCGGCAAGCAACCGCTTGAGGGCGCCGACGAGAGTCGCGGCGGCGGCGACTTGGTCCTCGTCATCGGGATCGACATCGAAGAACGAGAAGTCGGCGCCAAGCGTCTTCATGGCTTTAGTAGCTGCGGGATCGGCGGCGAGCAACAGCTTGGTGAAGGCCGGCAGGTCGCCATCGAAGTCACCGGTGGCGCGCTCGGGCCATTTTCCGGCGTCGATGGCCTCGGTGTCGATCGTCGGCAGCGAAAGCATCGCGAGGCCGGCGCCGAAGCTGTTGTTGATGTCGGCGTCGTGGCACTCGGCGCAGCTGGCGTGGTAGTCTACCCGCAGGGTGAGGTCGCCCGCCGCGTCCTCTAAGTGGCACGAACGGCAGTCGAACTTCTGATTCGCCTTGGTGAAGTGCTGCTCGCTGTGCGATGCGTGGTTGAACGCGATACGGGTCCGCCGCGCGACGGGCCAGGCGCCGAAGTCGGGGTGGTCGGTCGCAAAGCTGTGGAACTGCTCGGCGTGGCAGGCTTGGCAACGGGCGTCGGTGATGGTCTTCAGATCATGCTTGGCGCCGTGGTGCTCTTGATGACACGCCGCGCAGGCGAGTGGCTCACTCGCCGACATGCCATGCGCCGGCGTCGCGACGGACGGCAGCGAAAAGCTGGCCGCCGAAACCAACGCCACTCGCGGCTTAGCGGCGCGCGGCAATGCATCGGTCGGTAGACCATGCGCCAGCAACGGCTCACGCCCCGCCGTCGCCATCTCCCTATGGCACTCAAGGCACAACGCCGACTGCGTCACGCCGCCCGCCTTACCGCTGCCGTGCCACGCCATCGCAAACCACGCTGTGGGCCCTTCGTTCGCGCCGGGATGGCACGTCGCGCAACGGTTGGACCATTCCGCGCGAGCGATCACTTGAGCGTGGTGCGATGACAAGGCGCCCGGCGCCAACAGATCGTTTCGCAGGCTGCCGCCTAACAACATCAGCACCGCGCCCACCGTGAAGAGCGCCGCCCCACGCAACCAGCGGCCGCGG